ACAATCCACCTGGTTTACTGTCCCCCTCCCCCTTGATTACTTAACCCCTCCTACCATCCCCCTGGATTACTGAACCCCTCCTATTACTGAACCCTCCCCCTGGATTACTTTAACCCCTCCTACCATCCCCCTGGATTACTTAACCCCTCCTACCATCCCCTCCCACCCCCCTGGATTACTGAACCCCTCCCCTGGATTACAACCCCTCCCCCTGGATTACTTAACCCCTCCTACCATCCCCCTGGATTACTTAACCCCTCCCCATCCCCCTGGATTACTGAACCCCTCCTACCACCCCCTGGATTACTTAACCCCTCCCCCTGGACCCCCCTACCACCCCCTGGATTACTTAACCCCTCCTACCATCCCCCTGGATTACTGAACCCCTCCTACCATCCCCCTGGATTAATGAACCCCTCCCCTTGGATAACTTTACCCCTCCTACCACCCCCCCCCCTGGATTACTTAACCCCTCCTACCATCCCCCTGGATTACTTAACCCCTCCTACCATCCCCCCTGGATTACTGAACTGAACCCCTCCTACCATCCCCCTGGATTACTGAACCCCTCCCCCTGGATAACTTAACCCCTCCTACCATCCCCCTGGATTACTTAACACCTCCTACCAACCCCCTGGATAACTTAACCCCTCCTACCAACCCCCTGGATAACTTAACCCCTCCTACCAACCCCCTGGATTACTTAACCCCTCCTACCATCCCCCTGGATTACTTAACCCCTCCTACCACCCCCCTGGATTACTTAACCCCTCCTACCATCCCCCTGGATTACTGAACCCCTCCTACCATCCCCCTGGATTACTGAACCCCTCCCCCTGGATTACTGAACCCCTCCCCCTGGATAACTTTACCCTTCCTACCACCCCCCTGGATTACTTAACCCCTCCTACCATCCCCCTGGATTACTGAACCCCTCCCCCTGGATTACTGAACCCCTCCTACCATCCCCCTGGATTACTGAACCCCTCCCCCTGGATAACTTAACCCCTCCTACCACCCCCCTGGATTACTTAACCCCTCCTACCAACCCCCTGGATTACTGAACCCCTCCTACCAACCCCCTGGATAACTTAACCCCTCCTACCAACCCCCTGGATTACTTAACCCCTCCTACCTTCCCCCTGGATTACTTAACCCCTCCTACCATCCCCCTGGACTACTTAACACCTCCTACCAACCCCCTGGATAACTTAACCCCTCCTACCAACCCCCTGGATTACTTAACCCCTCCTACCATCCCCCTGGATTACTTAACCCCTCCTACCATCCCCCTGAATTACTTAACACCTCCTACCAACCCCCTGAAAACATTTTCTGTTGTAGTCACCTTCAAATTTTCTGAACATTAACTAAAAAATGCCTTGAAATTACTCAGAATTTGCACATTTTCATAATTATTAAATATTTTGCCAATTAAGATATCCATTGTGAATATATAAACAATACAATCAGGTAACCCATCACAGCTATAAACATTCAGTGGAGTCCTAGCTACACACCCATCACAGCTATAAACATTCAGTGGAGTCCTAGCTACACACCCATCACAGCTATAAACATTCAGTGGAGTCCTAGCTACACACCCATCACAGCTATAAACATTCAGTGGAGTCCTAGCTACACACCCATCACAGCTATAAACATTCAGTGGAGTCCTAGCTACACACCCATCACAGCTATAAACATTCAGTGGAGTCCTAGCTACACACCCATCACAGCTATAAACATTCAGTGGAGTCCTAGCTACACACCCATCACAGCTATAAACATTCAGTGGAGTCCTAGCTACACATCCATCACAGCTATAAACATTCAGTGGAGTCCTAGCTACACATCCATCACAGCTATAAACATTCAGTGGAGTCCTAGCTACACACCAGTCCTAGCTACACATCCATCACAGCTATAAACATTCATTGGAGTCCTAGCTACACACCCATCACAGCTATAAACATTCAGTGGAGTCCTAGCAACACACCCATCACAGATATAAACACTCAGTGGTGTGGTCCTAGCTACACACCCATCACAGCTATAAACATTCAGTGGAGTCCTAGCAACACACCCATCACAGATATAAACACTCAGTGGTGTGGTCCTAGCTACACATATGCTGCCAATGAAGAATGAATTCTTTATTTTGCCGTTTTACATCTTAAGACATATCTATGGGAACATGATTTAGTAAATGCTGATCAAGAAATGATTTTAAATTTTCCAAATGCTGAGTTATCAACGACATTGATTCTACAAGACTCTGATATATCTAACCAAATCAAAATGGCGTCCAGCTTTGTTAAATTTTCACCAATAATCGCAAGGGAATTGAATTTGTGATTAACTATTCTCAAATATTGATGCAAAAACAAATTCCACACAAAATATAAGTGATTCACAGTATACAAAAAACAGAGGAAAATTAAAATACGGGGTAGTACAGTCATGTTGTATCATGATGTACATCAAAATTACTGCTAAAGCTTAAAGTCTTCAGAACATTGTCATCATTTTTTGCTTTTTTAATCTACAAACACAGCATAAGGAATATGTGTTTTATAAAGGGTTCAACTTACAGAAAGTCCTTCCTGAAGTGATGTAATTTCGCTTAAATAATTGTTGATCGTTTCCTCCAGTTCACAAGGCAATCAGCAGTTTCACATAAAAACCGAAAGACTGACGTACTGTGCCAATATATTGACCAATAAAAAATATTGGACATATTTGTTACTTCATCTCTCCCACAATAAGCCCATGGGCCTACTTCATATAAGCTCTGACACAAGGAGCTGACCTTATTAATAGCATAGGGCAAAAGTATAGCATTTGACTGTGATTCTGTAGTAACAACAATAGACGTCAGTGGGCTTATTACAGGACAATGATATACATTGTAGTATTGGTTGGTAATTCTACAATATCTACCACAGATATGGATGAGCTTGTTACAGGACAATGATATAATATTTGTTGGTAATTCTACAATATCTACAATAGATATGGGTGGGCTAATTACAGGACAAGGATTACATTACTTTACACTGAACACAGGACAATACCAAAGATGTTGTAATATTGCAGGCGTGTGCAAGAAGCATGTGCATAGAAAACAAATATCAAAATAACTGTACATGTGAATGCATTGTAAGTTATGTGCTTGAAAAATACATTGATGATGAACCATTTAAAAAACACACAAAATCAAAAATCTAATTTCCTTTTCTAGACTGGATAAATTATTGGATTGTGATCAGCTGAGAGAAATAATTGGTTGGGCTACTGACAAGGGATTTAAACAATGGCATGTCCATCCTCACACAATAAAAATCATTCATCGGTTCATCAATGAAGTGTAGGTGTAATAGCGTTGGTCCAGAGGCACTGGTTTTAAGTTCATAACATACATTATATATATATATAGGTCTTTTTCTCTGAGGATAAACATGTTTCAATAAAAGAGACAGCTTTACTGATATCTATCAAAAAGGGTTGAACAATGAACATTTACACACATCATTTCAGCCTGACATCCCTCCTGTTAGACCGAAAAATTAATTCTCTAAAGAAATGATTATTTAATGTCAATATTAACATTTATTATTTTGTAGTTAAGAGTATAGAATTGATTCAATAACTATTGAGATATGTTCATATCTACAAGATCTATGGGACTTTGAATGCCGAAAAGTTGCCAATTTTATGCCATTCTGCACAATAACTTTTTTATGGTTTTATTCAGATTTTCACCAAACTTGTCTCTTTTACACCAGACCTTGTTTGGGTTATGCTCCAACTCACTGTACTGATTCCTATATTGATCTTGTTTTAATACAAGTCACTGATCATTCTCAAGTCATCCAAGTGGACACATTATATAAAGCAATCATAAACAGATATTTGTTGACTGTCTGGCCTAGATTAGAATGCAGGAATGCATGACCACAATCTCAGCATAAGACTCCTACGTTGCAGGTAATGCAATTTATTACAGAAAAGACAATTTTTAATTATATTGCACTGATCACAATGAATCATCACAATAAACCATACACATAGTTTATTTGTAGTGTCACGTAGTCTATTTTAGGAATGTTTTAGCAAGTGTATATCTGTATGGATACGTCGCGAGTTATCTTACCGAGTGCATGTGTTATTGTTTATCTTGGGAGATGTGCGCGTACCGCTGTCAAGGTGAGTCAATCTATATTTAGCCGTCACACTTGGCCAACCGGTCAGGGCACCTGTTCCATTGTTAGCGTGCGTGGGTCAAGCTGTCATATAATGTTGTTGAGTTGTCTTGTATTCTTTATTGTAATAGTTTGTAATGGGCATAAGAGTGTGTAAGTCAAGTGGCCATGAGTTTTCTTTGTAAATCGTCCGCCTTTCTTCATGCAGACTGAGCTCGTTCGTTGTGCTGTGCAGACGTGTTTTTGACACCCTGTTTTATTATTGCTCATGTCTTATCCCGTTGCCCCCTCGCTTATTTCAGTGTACTCAAACATGTTCTGATCCTGAATACACATCTTAAGTGACTTTTCAGTCGTTGAGTGGATTTTCTCATAAATTCGCCCTAAAATGATACATGGCCCACTGGCCGAGTCCCAAACTAATATGTTGACAGTATCTTTTTAAGTTTACATGAATGTGGCCATTACTATTGTTATCATATTCAACCTTGTAGAAGATCTTGGAGTTTAAAGCTTTAAGATAATTAGTTTAAAAAACAATAATCTAGCGCAGGTGAAACTTTCGGTGCACGCAATAGTGTATCGTCGAATTCGTCGGCAATAGTCTAGTTACTACATACATTTTTACGGAATCTTCCTGTCGCCCACTTTTTCCTAATCAGTAATACTAAATAGTTCCATCCCTAGGACTAATTTTTCAACCTAGAATCCAAATCTGGAACCTGACATTGGCCAAAACGACAAATAACAGTTGATGAAAAGTCATGTTTCACTTTCGAGAAAATACGCACTTACCTGGCTCATGTTTGGTTCCGTTTCGTTACGACAAAATTCAGTAAGAATGAGAAATTAAGAAACCTTGGGTACTGCCGCTACCTGGTCTCCAGTGGTGTTAAAAATACCACGTGATTGGTGCATCAATACCAGATAAAAGCCTAGTCACACACTCAGGCTTATCAAGTGTCCTAGGCTCGGTTATAACCGCAACAAGGACGTTAAGCTAAACAAAAAACAAAAAAAAAACAGGCTTATCAAACAGACCAGACCTCTCGACCTGCAGATTTTTACTCTCGCCATTTTGTACATTTCATAGGTCACGTGATAAACTATTTATATCATAACATTCGCAGTATTCATGTAAATATTTTAAGGGCGCAAGTGAGTAAATTTTCACACATGAGAGTGAAAGTGGCGTAGAAAGTCGTCAACAAGAATATATCAACATATCAAACATAAACAGTATCCATACTCAATTTCAATAAAGCTAGGACATCTATCCCCATCGAAATGATGTGTCGCCAGCCATTAAATCACTTCGACCAACACGTGGTCCTGTCATCTCTAAATTACGGTTCTTGTCTTGAAAGAGAAACCCAGCTGGTAATCACTATTCACGATCTTTTCGCAAACTTTGACAACGCTTGGAATAACAGCCATTTAAAATTCAACCTTGTAAGAATCAATCAGGAGAATCAGGGACGTCCCTGGGAGAACTGATGAGGAGACTTCGGTGAAATCAGGGACGTCCCTGGGAGAACTGATGAGGAGACTTCGGTGATATCAGGGACGTCCCTGGGAGAAATGATGAGGAGACTTCGGTGAAATCAGTCGAGATGGTAGTAATGCTTACAGAGACAGGGGATCGGCTTATCGGAGGGGAGGGGGGGACGGCAAACAGTTGATTGGTTGGTAGACAGGTTTTTTGTCATCTTCACTCCTTCCGAGTTCGGGTATCGTCTCACTGGCGAATGTCATTGTTCTGGCAAAAAGTCAACATTAACTTACATGACTGACGCGGTGTCCCACCGAAAATTCCTACGTAAGCTGGACTTGTACTGGATAAGGGGCAGCTTATATCACCGAATAATTTGCCCCCAGCCCCCTCCCAATTTTTTTTTCATTTGAACATTTTTTCAAATTTTTTTTTCTAGTAGTAAGAAATTGCCGGTATGAGCGCATTTTCAAATTAGGGTTGAAAACCAACCACTAACACATCTGACTCAACAAGCTCAAAACCAACCACAACAATGTTTAAACATGGTCTAAATGACTTAGAGAAAAATGACGTTTCTAAAAATGACTTAAAGAAAAAACATTCTATAATGTAACGAGCGGCCTCGCAAGCTCGACTATCTCCTTATTGCTAACCCATGAATTGAACGTCTCTGGATAACCCTTCCACTTGACCAGCGACCTCGTTTTACCCTTCTTGACGATTTTTTCTATCCTGTATACCTCTTGGCTCGTCTTCTGCAACTCGGGTTCGTAGTAGGCCGTTTTTGTTTTTACCTTAGTACCTTTACTACCAGCCGCAAACTGACTTATCAGGGGCGCATTTTCAAACAACCCATCCCACGTCTCAACGTCTACCATCACCAAATCACCAATAGAATAGTAACTCCTATAATCCACACCCAGGTAGACGAAAACCTCTAAATAATCCCCAGCCTTTACATTTGAGATCGTTAGTGTTATAAAAGGTAAAGTTTGATAAGTTGTTGTATTTGATGGGGTGATAGTTTCTGCTTGAGTGTGCAAATAAGTATATGGACCATACATTCTCCACGAGTCAACTAAAACAGCATCCACATAACCTTTTGTTGCGGCGTGACCATCAGTCGATGGTTGAGCCAAGGATAGGCCAGTTATTTCATGGCCTCCCATATACAAAGATCCAGACATAGTGTCTCCTCTCTTACTAACTCTAGCTACCTCACGAATGGACTTTGAAGTAGCCATCCAATGTTTACCACTCCACGTAAATGTTCTCGATTCTCCACCAAAAACAATCAAAGATTGTAAAGTCCCAACAGATGTATCAGTACTGTCATCCGGATTTACTATTCTATTCTCATTATCCCACATTGAACATTGATTACCGTATTTTTCGTGAATAACTAAGTATTCTTTACCGACGGTAGCTGTTGGCGGAAATTTTAGCACAACGTTTCCGCTGGTGGTATCTGCTAGAATAATATGATACATATCATCCAGATTATACAAACCTGCTGTAACGAGGGTGGTTACGGGTGTAGGGTTAACAATTTGACCATCGACATAATTCTTAGTAGAGGCGTCTTGCGCGTTCATGGGATCCGACACGTTCGTTAACGTATTTCCCGCCATATCGATGGAACCAGTTACGGTAGCCCCATTCTTTCGTAGAAAATTCTTATTGACGTACGACAGAGACACACCGGGTTCTGGTGTTGGGATGTTGTACTCTGACGTCATATATCCAAATTTGTGAATAGGCATGTTTTTTAATATATATATATATTATAAATCAATACAATCCGTTTATGATCTCTTGAAGCTCTCTCCCCGCGCTCATCTCTTTTAGAACGTATAAACACAAATGACCGCAAAATACCTGATCGACTGGCTGAACCTGCTCTGTATTGTACAAGATCCCTCGCTTCAAATAGGATATCAACTCATTCGGAGGTTGTATGCCATAGCTATCGAAATAGTATTTATTTTTTCCTTGTTTGTACCAGGCGGTCCAGTGCGTTCCTCCTCCGTCACTAGAATCTAAATTCAGAATCCCACGTTTATTTCTCTTTGGTCTCTTCGGAAGTGTATCGCGCAGAAATACTCCTCTAAAGTTTGGTATTTTCAATTCATCTGCAGCCCTCGTTAACTCGATATTACTTAGCGGTTTATTAGGCAGAACGACTTTTCTGTTACCAAACATTCCAGCACCGCCATAGACATACTGTCTTCTAAATCCATGATTCTTTGCTATAAACATTATTTTTTTATAGTCTAGATATTATTTTTTTATATATCTATTAAAGTTTAAAGTGTCCATGGGCTAGTGTGCGCATCCCATCCTGGAGGATGATTCGCTTGTCGTCATTTGCCGAAAGAGCTATTTTGTTACTTTCTTCGGTGTACACATCATGACAGTGGCTCCTGATGACGTTCATCTTTCTCAACTGATCCTCACCCGTAAACAAACATTTCTTGTAATCCTCAAACGAAATACTCTTTCTGACAACGGACCTTTTCACCCCCTTACACTTCTTCTCCTCATACCCCTCAAGTAACTTGTAACTGTACAACTTAGCTCTCAACCCCACGAATTCTCGGATGATCTTACCTCCTGCCTCGTCCTTGAACATCCCCACCACTTTCTTGTTACGACCGACTTCGATGCCCGATGGGTGATCCTTTGGGAAGTTGCTGGTGTCAAACTTGGCTGCCACGTCACCAGAGATGTCCTTGTAAAAGTCTTCCGTCTGGATTTCGTATGCCAAGGAATCGTTTTGCCTTTTCTCCGTACTTTGTCTTCATGTAGTTGTAATGGAAGTCGTACATCAGCGTCTTGCTCAGATCGAGGATGCACATCCCGAGATAAACGGGCTTGTTGAACTTCAGTTTCGTCTTTTTCATATGTACGGCAACCAGGTTCTCGTCGAAGATGGTGCAATGCATAAAATTGGGTTTTGCTGCCAACTTCTTCGCTTTTGTCTCGTCGTTGACTAGTCGGATATCCACTCGGCTCCTAATGTTCTCCATAGTCTTTCCGAAAACAGAGTTGTTCATGAGCTTGAAAAAGTCCTTTTCAAACTCATTGTTTGCCTCTGCTCGGAGATTGGTGTTCAGGTCGATGTATTGCTTCAACCATGCAATTTCCTCGAACCTGATGCCCCTGTGGATCTTTGTAATCTTCATTCCCAAGCCCTCGTATAGATTGAGGTTCTCGTAGTGAATGACATAGTTTTGTCATTGAGATTGGGAATAAGCTTTTCCACATTAAGGACTTTGAGACTTTCTGGAGCGAGCGGATAGTCATTGTGGAGATCATTGTGGTTCTTCCAAGAGTCCAGTTCGCTGTCTGTCATCCACCCGAATCCGTGTGTAGGGAGCGATTTGCTCATGGCCCAACCATAGAGATTGTTGGCATCCAAATAGGCAATATACTTCGCAGGATCATGGGGGTTGAATGTTTCACCCATGTATGGGTTGTTTGCTTTGCCATATCTGTTGCTGATCATCGATATCCCGCCTCTGATACCTTTCTCCACCATGAGCAACATGTCTGAATCTGATAACAGCTCCAACTTCACTTCGGTGATTTTCAAGGCAGCGTCCCATGCTAGTCCAGGCGCTGTATAATACCAGGCAGGGTCAAGATCGTAGTTCTTGATGCAAAAGTCTCTAAAGTTCTCGAAGACATCTGCCAAGAGCAACACGTCCGACTGGTTGTACAGTTCGTGGTAGTCCCTGAGTGACTTCATGCCAAACTCTTTCCACACAGTTTGTGCATGCTCATAGTCATCGTCACTAATCTCTTCTCCACTGAGTCTGGAGTCGAACGCTTCTTTTCGTGGAAGGGCTGTTTCATCTAGTCTTTTGAGTGAATCCATATATTCATAAGGGTAGACACCCTTTCTCATTAGTAAGTCTAGATGTTTTCCGTTATAGTACTTCGAAGTGTTAGTGAAGCAGTCCTTATCCAGATTACCGGACAGCTTATCCAGGCTAGAGGCCATGAACTTGAAGCTGTCGATGAATCTGAGTTGGTGCTTAACATCCTTCTCTTTCCCGTCCTTGCCAGTATAAGAACCGACAACAACCTCCTTGGTGAAGCTGATGTACTTTTCCTCGTTGTTCGGGATGCAGTTGATGTTCCCCTCAGTTTTACCGAGGTTCTTGACGAACAGATGACTGTCATAGCCGCTCAGATTGTGGAACACCACGGAAGTGAACTTCGGCTTCTTGTACTGCAAGTTACAACTATTGTGAGCTGCACCTCGGTATTTCCCAGTAAAGTGACAGTGATCTCTCACCTTCTTGTCATCCTTACTGAACTCACCTTGGCAGATCCAGCACTTTGTCGCCTTTTGGAATTGTTTGCGGTCATTTTCCCCAAAAATCATTGGTTTCGCCGGAATTTTGCCAATTTCTTTGATGTCTTTCTCCAACATTTCTACGAATATTTGGGAGACATCTTCGTCGTCAGTTTTCGCGGTGTAGGTAACCGGATCTTTAGAGAAGACACCATCATCAAAGCATTTGATGTAGTAACAAAAGCTCGATGGGGTGTGTTTCTGGTATTTCTTCGTGTAGCTCTTTCCCGGACACGGTTCACACGTATCTACGGGTTTGATGAAAGATTCAAAGTCAGCATACACTGTGAACGGCACACTCATGGACTTGTGTATGTGCCCAAACGAAATGGTCGAGCCCTCTTCTGGCATCTCAACGATTCCTGTGAGTAGAAGGGGTTCAAACATCTGAGACAGTAATAATTTTTGTGTTGGTGGTTTCCGGTTTGGCTGGACAACAAACGGCTCATGTCTTTGATGACGCAGTAATGCTGCTTTTCCCCATCAGAGATCAATAAAAGGTTTATTGTTACCCTATCAAAGTGTTTGCTTATTCGGAGGGGGTAAACACGAGTTTCATAGCCAAAGGCATTAATAGATATGTCTGGGTTTTGCTTCTCGACATGATCTATTGTCTTAAGACTAACTAGGTAATCAATACCGTCCAATACTGCTTGCATTCTGAGCATCTTAGTTATGCGGCAAGCATCACGTTCTACGGGATGTAATGCTCGAGCCAGTGCCCAGAGGAAGCATCTGTTGTCATCATTTTTGACATTGATCACTCCCTTCTTAGGATGTGCAAGAGCCTCCGGAGTAGGGATGTAAGAGCTCCCCCTCAACGGTTCATAAGCAACTGTATGAATTTCAATGGCAATGATAGATTTAAATGTCCAGTTGCTGCCTCGCAACTGGAATGTCGCCATGGCCTCCATGACTTTATCTGCCATTGCATCATACAGCTCATCTGCATCTGTTCCCTCGAGGTTAATCTCGACATTAGAGTGAAAGGCTGCCGGCTCTACGATTGTTTCTGAGGCACTAACAAGGTTCACTTTTTCCATGTTACATCTAAGAATTAGCTTTACCTTAGTGCCTCGGATTCCTCTCAAGAGGTTAACTACATTTTGTCGGGCTGTGTTGAGAAACGAGCATCAAACCCCTCTCTGCCATCTATGGTATATTGAGTCGTAAATTTCCTCAGAGCAGATATTGTCTCTCTGATTTCAAACATCTGCTGCTTTCTGAATAAAGCATCTACTTTTTCCTTCAAGGCTTTTAATTTCGATGGGGCCTTTTTAACAACTTCTCTGTCTACATCATGCAGCCATTCAACCCAATCTACAGCAGCTTTGATCGATTTATTTACTTTTTGTTTAACCTTGTCCCTGGTTGTAGGGATAAGGACAGGTTGAAGAGTCGGCACATTGATGCTAGGTACATCTGCATCTAAGAAATTTTGATCTGGAGGATTCCTCTGTGGGATGAAAGCCGATGCCAGTCGTCTTGCTCCTCTAGCAATGTTTGTTGCAGCATTCATAGCCGCATTACTAATTCTTCTGAAAAGACTCATTGTTTTTATTATATATAGATTTTTTTTTCTATAAGCCATTTTCAAAAAAAATCATTTTTTCATGAATGTTGTATATGTTAACCCACATACAACATTTTTTTTGCATACATCTTGCTAATTCCTCTGGGGTCACCCACTTTAATCTCTTACTTGTTTTTCCACACCCTTCCATCCCAAAAGGTTATTATCCTCGAGGATTTGTCTATGAATTGAGATGCCTTATAAATGGATGGAAATGTAATCTCCTCTCCAGTATCAACATCCCTCAACACAACAGGTTTTGGGTTATTTCTAACTGCCATTGGATCTACCTCTTTCTTTGTCTTCACTGGTTTGGGTGGTTCCTCTGGTATTAATTCCTTTCCTTTCAACAGCTCGATCAGCCGCTTCTTGCCGCAATGAGAATAACCTTTGATTTTATTCTCACGAAGAATTGTTTTCAATTCAGACAGTTTCAACATTGTTTTTTTTAATTATAGATTTTTATTTTCTTAAAGTCATTTTCAAGAAATGTAGAAATCTAGCTATATACAACGTTTACCTTCTTCCCATCGGTCTTGAAGTTTATCATCTTGTCACTAATCACAACAGCAAATGCTTCGGTACCCGCTGGCACGTTGGCATTGAGCTGAGTTTTTATTTGGATGTCAGTGACTGCGGTCTTCAGTCGCTCACTCTGCTTGCTGACGTCGAAAACAAACAGTGGGAAAAGAGTCTTGTTATCGGCGGGGGTGATGTTGGGGTTTGACACCAACTCGTCCATGTTGTAAAACTTGGACCTGAAGGCTGCTGCATCACCGTACGCCCGACTGAATTGCTGTTTGGGAAAGGAGAGGTTGTAGTCAACTGCGGGGTATCTAGCCGAGTTTAGCATGACAAATATATTCCTCACATTGACGTTGTCAAAGATGGACGAATTCTGCTCTTGGTCACCGTCTTTGTCAGTTTGGAAACCGACAATGATATAGCGCGGTCTTTCAGGCGCTGATTTGACAGATAGTCTCCAGGTGAAGCTAGTTGACTGTGGTACGGAGATGGATTCACATTGCCTGATCCTGTACATTACGGGTAGAAGCGCATTTGAATCGAGTATCTTGTAAAGCTTAAATTTTTGAGCATCTGCGGGTAGTACATGAGGCATAAACCACGACACCTTTTCGAGGGTAATTTCCCCCATCATCAACATTTGCATTCCTGAAGATCGCATCGTTGTCCGTTTTCCGCACCAGAGTCAGGGTTTGTTTCATACCATACACAATTTTGTCATAGTCTTCGCAAAATCCAAAGATGTGCTCGAGTGGTACTCTGAAACTAAATGTGCCCTTTGGATCAGGAGATTTGATTATATAGGATTGGCGAACGCTAAATCCGGCATTGCCTGCTGCTGCAGCTGCAGATGCTGCAGCTGATGTGTCCTTGTACCACAATTGATTCAAACCCTGCGACTTGGAGAAGTCATATGGATATTTCAACAGACCAAGCATCGTTGTACCCTGTCCTGGATGAAAAAAAGAGAGATTCAATCTCCTGTCCTGAAAGCTGGTACTTGATGTTGCTGAAAAGATACATGAGAGCATTATTCGTCAGTGTAACGTTATCATCGTTTGCGTAAGCGGTCCCGTCCTCTAAATCTCGTTAATTTTCTGTAAACGATAACCTTGTCCCTCATCTTCAGGGGGGAGCTGTTGGCAACTTTGGATAAAGCGCCGTATCATTATTCACTTTGTTGATTTCCATATTTGTATATGTGTGAGATTTTTTTTATGTCATATAATGTATGAGACATAGAGGCTCGTTTTCCTCAATGACAACAACCCCGTTCGAATTGTTCGCGATGTTTATCACCATATCATCAACACTTTCGAGAATGGCTTCATTTTGTATACTGCATTGCCTCATTTTAAGGCTTTGCTTTAGTGTCCTTAAAACCATACCATTAGTCATCCTCAATCCAAACCTTAATCTAATCGTTTTATTTTCTTTTGGTCCGATGGTAAGTTTATTTTGATTGAAAATTTCCCACGTTACTGGTTGCACCTTCAGTGGAGGATGTTTTACATCCATTACCGGTATTCAGTAAATCGTTTTCGGCTGTCTTGGCAAGTTATACTAATTTTTCGGTTTTACACCAAATTTGTGAACAGGCATTCTTTTTTAATATATATATATTTTTTTAATATATATATATATATATATATGTTCATGACCACGTATGCATGAAACACTCATAATATTGCACCGAGGATCGGAATGTTGTTGAATGGGCTGTTAGGTCCCAGGATAAGACCCTTCCCATTATACCATCTCCTTTCTTTATTTATATAAAGTCCATCACCAACGGCTTCTAGACCCGAACCGGTCGCGGGTCCTAAATAAAGTCCTTTTCCGTCTGTCTCTATCTGGCAAACACAACCTCCTTTCTTGAGATACAACCCGTTCCCAACCACCTTTTGCACTCCCGAACTAGCCAAACCAGAAAGAGCGCCAATGCCTAATGCTGGAAGTACCGTCTTTGCCAAAACAGGCAATGCACGCGCTGCCAAACCAGCAAGCATCCCAAGGAAACCGCCCTCAACTTTCATATTGTGTTTGAGTTGAGCTTTACTCATTTTGATGGTTATTCCTTTACCACCTTCATAGGCTTTGGCTAGTCTCTTCACTTGTCTGTCTGTCAGTGCTAAGACATCTTCACCGTTCAAATCTTCGTGACCAAAACGGACACTGACAGGACAACCGTTTTGAAGGGCCTCTCGTAATTTTTGTCTCTGCCCTTCTGAAACATTCAATTTAACATTTGTGTATCGTGACATTTTATATATACGAATATTTTTTTTATTACACTTGTCTGATGTGAAACCTCAATGATAAATTATCTCCTCTTAAATTTAGCAGCGTGCCATTTTGGTCGGTGAGTGAAGTCTCAAGACTGTGTATGGTGTCTAGTGTCACGGGAAGATACACCAAATTTCGTGGTGTTTCAATTATTTTATGTCCAGGGGTGACATTTGGAAAGAAGGAGTATATCGTGTGTTGTGAAGCTCCATTAACGTAGCTCCCTGAGATATTGTCAACATTAACATGCAAGCTGACAATACTAAAAATGTTGACGACATTTTCAGACTCCTGAAATCCTAGTGCGTAAATGTCGTGGTTAAATCCTAATACACTGGAAATGGAGTTGGGATGCCTAAAGTCTACTTGGTAATTATTATCTAAAATAAGGACAGTCTTTAGTGTGTTCGTGTTTGCAGAAATTGTAACGTAATATTCCTCATTGATACTGCCATAGTGTCCATTCTGCCTCATCTTTTGTTGAATTGTGTCGTTAATGTCATCGATGTTATAGATACCTTCTGGTAAATAAATTTCGAACCACGTTGTTCCGCCATCGGGCGAGTATCTAAAATAATTACTACTCGCATCAATGCTAGGAAAAGAGTAGTAAGTCTCGCGATTGACGAGTGCCATCTCGTGCTTTTTCTTTTTGTCGAGTTGGATCGGTGGATTGAACCTAGTTCTAAATCTTGTCTTGTTGCTATTCAGGACAATCTGAAACGAGCTTTTAGGCTCAGTGTTTTTAGCTATTTTTTCAAGTATTGGTTCGATTTTTTTTTACCATTCTGCCTGTTACTGGTCAGATCGATCACTACGAACCCATGTGGTTTTTCCCATGCTACCTTGCACAGACCTTTGAATTCATCTTTTGAGATGTCTTGACTCACATGATCATTATAGATATGGTTGATATTATTCAGGTCTTGTGGGATCAAGCAGATAAAGTTTGCATTTTCTCTTATCTTTTGGCGTGGTAGCTTGAAGTAGTTTTGTGAAAGGTAAAAACAATCTACATTGCTGTGTCTTCCACGAATATAGTAAGACTCGCATTTATTCTGTTTCTCCAACAGCAAATCATCAAATATCATTAAATACTTGTTTTCGGAACTTAAATCATGGGGGTCTGGGACATCTTCGGCAGATTCGTAAAAGCAGCATTGAATGTCAAACTTGTCTTTAATCTCTTTAGACCATACCTCAACAAGCGCTGCGGGTGACACATCTAACCTCATTACCTCATCGCGCAGGTCAAACAAGCGCATAATAGCTTCTTCTGGCAATTTCTCTTCAAAAGCTTTCTTGAGGATACGGTATTCGGGTTGGAATAGACTCTTGCCGAATACTGCTAGCTTGTTATAGTCAAGCCAACCCGGTCTCAGTAAAAGATTGAGCAAAAGTGTGGTTTTATCACACCCCGATTTGCCTACAATCACTCCCCTTATGCTTTTTGGCAGAAGCTTGTGATTGAACCGTTTTGATACCATTTCATTCCACAATAAATCTTTCACTTCCATGTTTTTAATTATAATACATTTTTTTTATATAAAAAATAATGTTGGAAAAGAAATATATCACAGCCACTTGTTCGTTTTTTCTGCAACTCGGGTCTATTCGGGGCCTGGCCTACACAAAAAGACGTTACCGCCCTCGAAGAATGGGGTGTCACCGTATTTGTCAACCTGACCAACGGGCGTGAGAAAAAGACGAGGCCGTACGCCGTCTCGTCTACCAGCAAGACCGTTTTCCATCCGGTGCCCGACCGCTCGGTGCCCAAGGACCTCGTGAAATTTTGCATGTTGGTGGTGGACGTTTGCGAAATGTTAAACGCGGGTAAAAAAATTTACATCCATTGCAAGGGCGGTCACGGACGCGCCGGCATGTTGGTCGCCGCCGTGCTGGCTTACGGGAAAAAAATATCACCGGTCGAGGCGATAAATCAGACGTCTAAATTTCATGCCAACCGCGTCGCCATGAAGGAAAAATGGCGACGTGTGGGATCGCCGCAGACCTGGGGGCAGAAAAAGTTTGTAGAGAGTCTCTTTCCCGTTCACAATACGGAGGCGGCCCTCTCCCCGTTCAAAGACAATCAGTTGTCGAAAGAGACGATTTACTTTGAGTTTTTACTCGTTCAGACGTTACTCGGAGAAATAGCGGGACCCACGGGGGCATCCCTCATGCAAATTCGAGAAAAATTATTTCTACGAGGCATTTGAAATCTCCTTGGTAAACATTTTAAGGCGGTGTATTTAAAAAAATATTTTTAAAAAATTATATAAATATATTAAAAAATGTATTGCCTAAAATGTAAAAGAACCACTGATGTTCAAAAAACTGTTTCTAAAAATGGACGAAATATGAAACGGGGTAAATGTGTCGTGTGTGGGACTACAAAAACACAATTTGTAGGCGGATCAATGGTGAATGAAGCCATCAATCATTTACCGTTTGAAATGCATCTCCTGGGACATAATTTTACGGGACCTGGGACTAATCTCGGTAAAAGGCTGAAACCAGACCTCACACCAAAGGAATGGAGTAAACCTATCAACAGGGTTGATAATGCCGCATACCATCACGATGTGTGTTACTTGAAAAACAAGGACACTAATACAAGAAATAGGGTATGTGACAAGAATATGTTAGCTGAACTGGGTGGAATTGTTAACCCTACACTTAGAGAGAGGTTGGGTAGATCTATTGTGGACAAGATCATTGGCACTAAGATGAGGTTTGGAATGGCAGTGGGAGGGGAAAAAAAGCAGCAGGTTGAGGAGATGAGCTCAACACCTACAGCACTCAAAGCATTGGCTGAAGAATTACACAGACCCGTGAGAAAAAAGTTTGAGAGAAGGAGGGTACGTGTTAATGGCATCGATGAAATTTGGGCCGCAGATTTGGTAGACATGCAGGCATTCTCGAAATTTAATCGCGGCACCAAGTATCTCCTTGCCGTTATCGACATTTTCTCCAAGTACGGTTGGTTAGTGCCATTAAAAGATAAAACGGGGAAATCGGTCGCAGCTGCACTGAAAAAGATACTCAAGGGGAGGAAACCGAAAAAGATTTGGGTGGATAAGGGCAAAGAGTTTTACAATAAAGACGTGCAGAGTTTAGTCGAGTTAACTCGATTGAAAACGAGGAAAAATCGAGTGTGGTGGAGAGATGGATCAGAACGATGAAGGAAAAAATGTGGAAATATTTTTCCTCCAATTCCACGAGTGTCTACAT